AACTTTCAATACGCTTACAACTTATTGACAGCAATTACATAAATCAGTCATAATCAATGTGTTTTTTTCCATCAGTACTCCATAAAAAAGAATGCTCTTTTCCCTTCTCTCCCATCCCTGATACCTAATAAACATTGGTCTCTATATATTTCCCTATTCTTGTCTTTTTATATAAGTGAGTTCATACAATATTTCACTTAGCATGTCTTTAAACTCCACTCATATTGTACCATGTTTCAAGCTTCATTTCTCCTATTAGAGAAGTAGTATTCCATTGTATGTATATATACGTGTTGATCATCCATTCATCTGCTGATAGGCATTTAGGTTGTTTCCACCTTTTGACTATTGTGAATAGGCTGTTTGCTTTGATCTTCAACAAGTGCTTCATGTCTTCTTCACTTTCAGCAAACAACGTTGTGTCTTCTGTATTGCAAGTTGTTAATGAGTCTGCCTTTAATCCTGATACCATGTTCTTCATTTAGTCCAGCTTCTTGAATTATTTGCTCAGCACACAGATTGAATGGTGTTATTTTTAGGTACCATCGATTTTGTTCCAACCCATTGTGACCCTCTGCACAATAGTCCTGTGCCACTGTCACAATTGTTGTTATGTTTGAGCCCATTGCTGCTGAACTGTGCCAATCCATCCTGTTGGGGGTCTGCCTCTTTTTCACTGACCCTCACTTTACCACACATAATGCCATTCTCTAGGTACCAGGATTAGATTCTTCCCACCTCTTTCCATCTTGGTGTCCTGTTAACACTCTTGTGGCCTAATGCACACCAGTCTCCATGATCCTGAGAACAGAAGAACTAGATGGTGCCACTAGCCCTGCCAACTCCCTTAAAAGGATCCCATTAGAAGATTAGGTGGATAAAGTGGAAGAAAATGTGGAACAAAGCTCAAAATTGTAAACAAGACCAGGCTTACTGGTCAGATACCCTTGGTCACCCTTCATGTCTGGAACTGAACTCACCCCCGTCACTCAATTTTCAGCTAAGCAATACATAGGTATCTAAAGAATCCTGGTGTGGTGCTGCAGGGTAATGCACCGGACTGCAAGGTCAGTGGTTCAAACTCACCAGTCGCTCCTTGGAAACCATTTACAGGGTTGCTATGAGCTGGACCAACTTGATGGCACTTAACAACAGCAAAGGGGAACAACTTAGGGAGGCACACACCATTGGATTAGAGATCAAAAGGATAGCATTTACATAAGGACAAAATTCAGAAGTGTTAGGGAAGAAGGAGGAATGGAAACAAGAAATACAAGGAAGAAGGATGGAGCGTGATATGTGACGTCACACCGAGGGAATTGTAATCACTGAGATGAAGTCAAGTGTATGATGTGTTGAATGTAAAACTGACAGTCTGTTCTGTAAACCTTCACCCAATTCATAATAAAAAGTTTTTCAAAAAAGATTTGATAAAAATATTAAAAATAAAAAACAACGAAATAGCAATTAAACCCTGTCTTCAAATCACTCCAGCCCAGGTACCAAACATACAAGTGACGACGTCATTTGACAGTGCTAACCCCTAGTCATTTCTGTCTTCCCAGCTTAGGGCCCAAACACAGTGGAGCAAAGACATTCCATCCCCATGAGTTGTAACTAATGCTACAGAATGTGTACGCATAACAAAATAATTATGTTTTATGCAAAAAACAGCACCATATGGTGATCATAAAATAACACAGTCAAAGAAACCTAGAAGTCCTTCTAGTCCAATGCCTTCTAGTCCAATGCCGTTTTCAGTGTGAAAACGGAAGTCCAGAGTGTTTCATCAACTTGCTCAAGGTCTCAGGCTTAGTTACCAGGGTAGGAGGGGGAGAGATGTTAATGCTGATTCCACCGCTTCCCATAACTCCCATTGTGTTCCATCTATTTTAATGTCTTGTACTTTTTTTTTTTTTTTTACATTTCCAGAATCGAGATACGCCTTAAAATTGATGGAGCTCTGGTAGCGTAGTGGTTACGAATCGGGCTGCGAACCTTAAGGCCAGCAGTTCGAAACTACCAGCCGCTCCGCGGGAGAAAGATGAGGCTTTCTACTCCCGTAAGGATTTACACCCTCGGAAACCCTGTACAGGGTCGCTATGGGTCGGAACCGACTCGATGGCACTTCACAACAACAACAACACAATTTATTTAGCAGCTTTTATTCTTCTTGTTAGTTGCAGTCTGTCAAATTCTGACCCCCGTGTTACAGTGTGGAGCTTCTCCATAGGAGTTGTATATCCATAGAAGCTGTATTATCCATAGAAGCTGTAATATCCATAGAAGCAAATTACCAGGCCTTTCCTACTACCATGGGAAATTGATTTTCTCAGTAGAATATTTAAAAAGGTGCCTTTTATAAGAGATAGCATCTTAAACTGGATGAAATACAGTAGTCAAATGTTACTATCCCTTTGTGAAGTTTAAAGAAAAGAATATGGAGCTTTGGCAGCATAGTGGTTAGGAATCGGGCTGCTAATCTCACGGTCAACAATTCGAAACTACCAGCTGTTCTGCGGGAGAAAGATGAGGCTTTCTGCTCCCGTAAAGATTTACACCCTCGGAAACCCTGTACAGAGTCGCTATGAGTCGGAACCGACTCCACGGCATATCACCACCACCACCACCGCTGCCGCATTTTAGTCCTCAATGCAACTCATAAAATTGGAGCTAGAACGGCCTCACTCAGCGATGAAATACCCCTTTGACTTCCTGATCTTCTCCTAAGTATTCTCTCACATGATAACTGGTTCCAATCCAGGGCCTTCTCAAGGGAAATAGTCTTGCGCGCCTTAGGAAGAGAAGCTGGACTCTTTCTTCAAAGGGAAGCAGCTTCCGGACCAGGGTTGAGAAGGTAGCAGGAAAATACAGGCAAGGATCCAGAGATTGCTGCTTTAAACTCTGCTTCCGGATAGGACCAATTCCAGCACAGACCTATGGTGGGAGGTGGGCAGCATTGGTGGCAGCCTATGAGGGCCTCTTTGGGTTCCAGGGGCGGAGTCAACTCCCAGGCCCTGCCTCTTTTCCCTTGGTGGGGGCATCTCAGCTCTGACTCTGCCTCATCCACTCATCTCCTTCCATTGTGCCATAGTCTCCGCCCTCCCCTTCGCAGCCCCGCCCCATGGCTCATTTTAGATCCCGCCCCTTTCATCTGAGGTGCGGCCGTGGGGCCCGGGAGCAAGATGGCGGTGAATCAGAACCATACCGAAAACCGCCGTGGGGTCATCGTCCCTTATGGTGAAAGGTGCCTGAGGGCCAGCCCGGGTTGCTGCCAGAAAAGGGAGGAAATGAATGGGTAGATCTTGGCAGCACGCAGCGAATCAGGACCTTTCCCGCCTGTTTCTGGCATGGCAAAGGTCCTGGCCTCCTGTCCCGTCCCCTCCCCTTCCCCGGCATTTGGGAGCGTGCGCCTCCTCGTGGGTGTTCTGCCAGCGGGCAGGAGCGCGCCGCCTCCTGGGGGCGCAGGGGTGGGAGCGTGTCCCTCCTGAGGTGGAGTGGGAACGGGAACGTGCCTCATATTGCGGAGGGGCAGGAGCGTGCCGTGTCGCTACGTAGGCGGGGGAGGATATGCCACCTGGCGATGTGGAGGGCAGCTCACGGGTGCACAGGGTGGGAGACAAATGTCACCCAGAAGAAAGGTCTGAGGACTCCCGCCGCCCCTCTCGATTACCGTGCGGCTGCCTTTGGGAGCACGCGATATTTGCAGGACTCCGGAGACCAGAAGGTCCTGGGTGCTACCCTACCCTGATTCTCATGAACTGAGGCCGGGTTCGGGGAACCTGAAGAAAGATGAGGAGATGGAGTACGGCTTAATCAGGGAAGACTTCGAACCTTCTCCTCATCCCACCTTAGGAACTTGAAAAGCCCCCTTGCTTCACTCCAACAGGGAAGACCCCTGCTTTTACATGTCTGAAAGATTCGGCAGTCTAAGGAGAGAAGGCCTAGAGAAAGAGGAACGTTCCCTAGGCCTCATGTGCTGTTTTGCGCTTTGCACCAGTTGCTTTGTGCGGGTTGTTTGACTCAGCCTGGTATTGCCCACGTTATCCCCGAAGGCAAACTTCCTCACATCTGGCCTAAACGTCACCCTCTTCCAGGCGCTGAATTCCCCTCCACATGGTCACACCAACCCCATTGTATCCAGTCTATTCGGACTCCTGGCGACCCTATGTGCTCCATAGGGGCTTTTTGGCTGTACCCTTAACCCAAACTTCTGCCGCATGCTGCTGTGAGAGTTTGAGCATCAACTAGTTAGATTAAGTGCTAAGGGACTCCTAAACCTAAACTCTTCTAAATATTCTCTTTTTCTGCAATGATTAGCCCTCATTTTGTTTCTCTTACCTAGCAGTGAGACGGCTGCCCCAATGCTGTGCTCACCTGAGAGCACACCAACATCTATTTGAATGCGTTTGTCAGGGAGAGCCATTCAGACATTGTCAAATGCTGATGTCCAGGTCTTTTTTCCTAGATGTTTCTCCCTTGTTAGCTGCTGACTTATAGCAACCTTATGCACAACAGAAGGAAACACTGCCTGGTCCTGGGCCAACCTCAATCATTCCTACGCTTGATCTCATTGCTGCTGCCACTGTGCCAATCCATCTCATTGGGTGTCTTCCTCTTTTTCGCTGAGCCTCCACTTTACCAAGCATGGTGTCCTTCACCAGGGACTGGTCCCTCCTGATAATATGTCCAAAATATGGGAGACAAAGTCTTGTCATCGTGGCTTCTAAGGAGCATTCTGGCTATACTTCTTCCAACACAGATGTTTGTTCTTTTGGCAGTCAATGGCACTTTTAATATTATTCTGCAACACCATAACTCAAATGCATGAATTCTACAGTCTTCCTTATCTGCTGTCCCAACTTCCACATACATATGAGGTTATTGAAAATTCCATGGCCTGGGTCAGGTGCATCTTAGTCCTCAAATGACATCTTTGCTCTAGAACACTTTCGGGAGGTCTTATGCAGCAGATTTGTCCCATGCAATACATTATTTGGTTTCTTGACTGCTTCCATGAATGTTAATGGTTGACCTGAGCAAAATGAAGTCTTTGGCAACTTTAATCTTTTCTCCATTTATTTTGATGTTATTTATTGGCCCTGAGGCACTATATCTGACTATTCTAGTGCGCTTCATCATGTTTCAATATTTAATATTCTAGTGCTATCTGACAAGTCTTTCACTGCTATTCATAAGGTTTACAGTGGCTAAATATTTGGAATCCTAGTGTGGTGCTGTGGGTTAATGCACTGGACTGCAAAGTTGGTTTGAACTGCAAGGTTGGCAGTTCAAGCTAACCTGCTGCTCTTTGGAAACCCTATACAGGGTTGCTTAGCGTCAGAACCAACTTGACAGCATGTAACAACAATATACACACACACACACATATGTATACATACATATGTATATTATTTTATTTTATTTTTTTAAGTTTTTATTGTGAACTGAGTGATAGCTTGTTTACATGGGAGAACATCAGCTTTACACCATCATTTCATTGCAATGATTACAGTCTCCTCCATGCATCATCATTCAACGATATTTGCTTCCATCCCCTCTGTTTTTTGTGTTGTTTTTTTTTTGGGTGGGGGAGATATACACAAAACACTCAGGAACACATAATAATTTAAACAGCCAAAAGTACACATTCTGCAAGCCTGCCTCCTGGCCGCCAGCACCCAGTCCCTCTCTTTCCATGAGTTCTAGAGTCCTCAGCTGCTCCCTCTCTCCATGTTCTCATCTCTGCCTCCATCTACAGTGTCGCTGCTTCTCTGGATAGGGTCCCTCATTCCGCTTATGCTCTTCTCCCTTAATGGTCTTAGGGTCTTCTGTTTCTGGACTGTAAGATTAACTACTCCCCCATTTTTGTTACAAAACTTCCACCTTTACAGTTGTGACAGTCACAATTACTCACTATTGAATCATAAGACTCTTATCCCCATCTCTTTTCACCAGCCCCATCTAGACAAGATGAAAACTCTACAGTGGGGACTCTACCTTCCCCCACACGCTCTTAAACTAAACTCCCTCTTGAAAACTGGTAAGCCAGTCACTTCGTGCTTTTATCACCCCCTCATTTTAGGTAGACAGAGTCTTAAGTTGCCCATCCCTATATACCTAGTACAGAGGGGGGATAGCATTGATATTTTGATGTGAAGACTCCTTCCCTCTCAGTTGGTATTTTGAGCTACTACATCCATAACTATAGGTCAAGTTCATCAAATTGTAGCAATTTACACTAGTTTCCTTTATCAAAAATAGTTCTTTTTTAATCTTCCTCTAGTAGAGTTCTGACCATCGAAGCTAAGTTTAATGGGTACTATCTGCAAGTTTGGGCATTCTTGTGCATCTCCCCTCACTTCATATCAGCTGGATGCTTCTCTCTCAGCTCTAGCCCTCCATGGCTATGTTGTTGTCCATGGGCTCAGGAGTACCCAGGTCTCACCACACTTTGGACCAACCAGCCCTTCCTCTTCTCTCTCTCTTCTCCAGGTCAATGGGACTCTATGGAATGTAGTTGAACTCAGCCCATTTCTTCATTGTTGGCTTTCCCCCACTTCCACTCACCAGTAAACCAATGTAGTCGCCAGCAAGCTTACATGCCTGCTCATGTGTTCCCTTTGAGTTTCAGTCTCGGAGGGGGATATGTTATTATTCTTAAATGCCATCAAGTCAGTTCCAATTCATAGAGTCTTTGTCTGTATAGGGTTTCCAAGGAACAGCTGGTGGGTTTGAACTGCTGACCTTACAGTTAACAACATTCAAGCCACCACAGTACAACCAACTGACCATCGAGTGGTGTGTCATCATAGATACCTTCTAATTTATGTGTTATCTGCCCTTTTTTTGTCACAGTATCTTGAAGCAATGTCAGGATGTGGTGCTCTCCTTTCCACAGCACCCAGGACAACCAGGAAGATCCAATCTTTTCAGTGGCACAAAGATGGGAATGGTGTTTCTTACTTCATACCGGGTATGACTTCTACATTGATCTTGTTCTCTCTACATTTGTTTTATTTACAATTTAATGCTGACTTTCTAAGTATTTAAAAATATTTGCACTTAGATATTTTCCTTGTGGAAGAGTAAGGGAAGACAGTGGGCGAGCAGGCCAAAACAACTCTGTTCTTCGAATTGCTTTTCTATGTCTCAATCCATGGATGAATTCTGCATTCAGTTCCCTGAGTTTCTCTATCTTAGGTCATCTTCGTGACTTCACACACAGTCAGAGATCCCCTGTTGTCTTTTATGATGCCACTTGATCTACTGAGGGACTGTACTGTTGAACAACCATTTCTTTCCCCCAACTACATTAAAGGCACCATTACAGCTGTCCCAGATGGTAAGTATTCCTTCCTCAGGGTTGTATTTTGCATCAAAAGCTTCCAGAAGAGTTTTGTAACAAAAAGGGGGTGTAGTTAATCTTATAGTCCAGGAACAGAGGACCCTAGGACCGTCAAGGGAGAAGAGCATGAATGGAATGTGGGACCCTATCCAGAGAAGCAGTGACACCAGAGATGGAGGTAGAGATGAAGACATGGGAGAGAGGGAGCAGCTGAGGACTCTAGATTCATGGAAAGAGAAAGGCTGTGTACGGGTAGCCAGGAGGCAGGCTTGCAGAATGTGTCCTTTGGTTATTTAAATGATTATATATTCCTGAGTATTTTTGTGTACAACCCCCCAAAACAAACAAAAAAAACCCAAGAGAATAGAAAGAAATACTGTTGCATGATGATGCATGGAGGAGACTGTAATCATTGCAATGAAATGATGAGTGTAAAACTGATATTCTCCTATGCAAACTATCTCTCAAGTCACAATAAAAATTAAAAAAAAAAAAAAGATAGGGACATGGAAAAGCAGTAAAGCTAATATTTATTGAGCACAATGCAATTCAAATATTAAAACCTTTGAGAGTTAAAATAAAGCTTTCAGAAGGGCTAATGTTCTGGCTTGGCTTGTGTTGACTGCCCTGTTCTTTGGGTATTGCTTCTCATTGTTTTTGGTAGTCCTTCGTTGCCAGCTCTACCAGTTAGTCTCTTAGTGAGTGTATTCCTGTGGTGACGTGAGTTCTGTAATGTGGTCTTTTGTTATAGTTCTTTAGAAAAACAACTTGGGAGATTTTTGGAGAAGTAATTGGGAGTGGCAGACTCTCAGGTTGTTTTTACCTCAGAAGTTATATTACTTTTACCCAAGGGATTCCCCAAGTTGATTGAGATTTCCTCAGGGATCAGTACACAACTTGATGGTTTGATACTTTTGTGTGGTAATTAATCAGACCTGTATTGGTTGGCACAATTAAAAGGGGGAATTGTGGATTGAGTGAACACTGGTCTGGTGAGAGTGGCCATAGCATATAACTGAAGAGGTTCACCATATGCAATTGCCAGAGAGGCCTGCTGGCAGTAGAAAGTTCAATTGCAGAAAGGTTTAATAGCAGAGAGCTGCAGCAACTGAAAAATCTGAGCAAGCTGCTATCTGTACTGAGTTAGACCGGTTAGTGGCTGAGAGGCTGGCGGCAGAGAGCTGGCAGAGGAAGGCTGATGGCAGAGAGCAGCTAAGGGAGCTGAGCAGACTGCTACCCTTGCTGTGAGCTGAGTCAGGTAATGACAGAGATGGCCGAGAGGTCTGAGTGGCAGACAGGCCGAGTCAGGGCAAATGCCTGGCAGAGAAGGAAGCTGCTCAGCAGAGCAACCACAGTTACTGATCATTGGAGGCCTATGTGTTTCCTAATGAGAGTCCTGAATTGTCCCGGTGACTTCCCAGTTGGTCCTGATCTCAGGCTGTAGCCTGTTACATTGTGTGGTCTGTGCTTCTGGGTGGCTGCTGCAGTGAATTATCAAGCCCTGCAGAGAAGGAGGGGTTGCTGGGGCTGGAGTGACCTCCGCTTTGTAAGAAACGGCTTTGTGCTGATCTCTTTCTTATCCCTCATGAATTCTGACAATTCCTTTCACTGCATTACAGTGCCTTTTCTTCCACAGGTGGCTGGGAAGGACAAGCTATTTTTAAATTATCCTTCAGAAAAGGAGGTGCCATCAGCTTTTTCCAATCGATGAGTCAAGCTACTGCTGCTGGTGAGCAATGCTGATCAAAAGCTCAAGCATTTTGAGGTTTTGAGACCTCTGAAGTTAGAATAGGAGTGGTACCCAGCTAAGATGTTCTGGTCTCCATGGTCAGGAGTTAATAGTTGCATATGTATTTAGCAGACATTTCCTGATCCTACCTACTATGTTCTTAAAACCAAACGGCCAAACGGCCACCACTCGTCTGTCAGTTTGTCATACTGTGGTAGCTTGTGGGTTGCTGTGATTCTCAAAGCTATGCCACCAGTATTTTAAATACCAACAGGGTCACCCATGGTGGACAGGTTTCAGATAAGCTTCCAGACGAACACAGGCTAGGAAGAAAGAGTGATGACCTACTTCCGAATATTTAGTCAATGAAAACCTTAAATAGCAGAGAAACACTGTCAAATATAGTTCAGAAAATGAGCCCCTCAGGTTGGAAGGCACTCAAAATGCGACTGGGGAAGAGCTGCCTCCTCAAAGTAGAGTTGACCGTGATGACGCAAATGGAGTAAAGCCCGTGGAAGAAAAGCCCACAGAACCTTCATTTGCTGATGGGGTACAACTCAAAATGGACAGAAACTGCTGTAAACATCTATTAATAATCA